CTGTGGCAGAATTGGTGCTTGAGCCACAGAGCCAGATGACAGAGGGAGGCACTTTTTCTTAAAGCAATTTCAGGGAGCCCTTCTATACACAAATGCCAGAGGCTGCGGAGTGAAATCCTCTCGCCGTTAACAGTTCAACAGAGAGAAGAATCTGGCCCCAGAGCTCCAAATGAGTCGGACACACAAAGATTTGGAGATGCAGTGATTTTAGTCACTGTCACCCTGCTGGACCTCACTTTCAGAAAGCCTAAGTGGAGAGCCTACCGTGCAGATGCAGTCTGTGCCCCCACACAACACACCCCTGAGGTCCCCAAAGAAGCCACCCAGGATGAGCCCCGTCACTCACATCCTCTGAGATAAAGTTGCCCCACAAGTCTAAATAGTCACACAATGGATTTTATGAAAAGCACACTAATGGTGTCAGATACAGTTCAAAACACCAGGTATAAAGATCTCCACATCAGTTAGGGTGCGGGGAAGCCAGGACTCCCCCATAATGGCGGGGAGCATAAATGGCAAAGCCATTTCAGAAAGCAAAATGCATTGTGTACGCCCTACTCCAGACTTCTCACTTCTGGGAGTCTTGCCTTCATCCACACTCACGTAAAAAGATCTTTTTCAACATGGTTTCTAATGCCAAAGTGGTGGCAATCTAGGTATCCATCAGAAGAAAGGTCAGATAAAAATCGCAGATTTGTTCAAATGGGAAAATATGTCTAGATCATGTTGTTGAAAGAGAAGGTTTATTTGTTTATCAATATGAACAGCACTGCGAACTGCTATGAGAAATGTAGCTACTTGTTATATGAGAAATTGCATCACATAAAAAGCAAGCTCCCTCCAAAATTAACTATCTGAGAAACTAAATGCTTGTTGCTATATACCTGTGTGGATGCAGACCAAATGAAAAAGATTCAGAGGGTGTACAGCAAAATGCTGAGAGGGGACATTTCAGCAAAGAGAATGACAGCAGAGAGGGCAGCCCAAGTGAAAATGCCCTTTGAAACGAGATGTTCCAATTTACAAACACAAAAATAAGCTCTTTGCTTCAATATTTATATATTTATATCATGGGACTAATTAAGAAGACATTTAAAATAACAAAAGTAAATCCAGGTTTAAAAATTTTGTAACCATAACTGGTTCCTTCCTTCTCTTAGTGTCTCAGGAAAAACTGAAATGTTTTCCAGACATGCATTTGGCACTTGCTTACAGTGTTAATGAGATTAAGTAAAGGACTCTATTTCCAGAATCCCGCTAATGTAACTGGGTTTTAGTTTATGTTTGTTGCTTCTACAAGACACAGAACTCACTTCCTCAGGTCCTACAAGACACTAAAATGACTCGGTACCTCCCTTACCTTATGGATGGCTACTTAATCCAGGGGCTCCCTGTCTTCATGGCCCTCTCCGGCTCTCAATATTTTAATCATTAGTGTATAGATTCCTCAGAGGCACAAATTCCATTGACTCCCAAGACCAAGGGAAGTGAAGACCTTTTTTTCCAATGTGCAAGGTCTGGAGGTTCAACATTCGTCATTCCTGGGTTTACTAATCTCCTGTGTCCACAGCACAAACCTTTTTTGGAAGGAGCTTGCTTTGGTTACTATTCTTACTGTCCCTAGTTTCCAACATCTTGGTGATCCAAAGCCTCCAGTTAGTTTTCCTGGTGTACACATAGCCTGAATGCCACCTATTTTGATAGTTAAAAGAGCTCCCCAATAACAATACACTGATAACCACACCGACTTCCTTAAGATGTGTCTTCCTTCACGTCTCTATGTTGACCCTTTGACCACCACCCACTAAGCGTTGTTGCTCTTCTCTGGATCCTTGTGAACTCATCTTCACCATACTCACCTCTTGTGGAACAGGACCCACATCAACAGGTAATAATCACCTGTTTTTACAGGTGAAGTGAAACTTGCTTATCAAACCCAAACATGTTGCCATGCTATCATCTGAAATCTATGCTGTCCAATATGGTGGCCATTAGCCACCAATGACTATTTAAGTTCAATTTCAATAAAATTAAATTAAACCTTCAATTCCTCATTCTCACTAGCTGTATTTCATATGCTCAGTAGGCAATGTTGCCACTGGCTACCTACCACACCAGCCAGCACAGACTCACAGACTTGTCACCGCTGTGGCAAGTTCCCCTGGACAACCTAGGCTAGGTATTTCACCTATACTAGAGCCTAGACCCTTGGGAGATTCAGAGTGTTCATAGCAGGGAAAGGAGAAAACTCATTAATCAATAACAAGTGGAGGTAACGCGCGAACCCACTGTGTCTGGAACTACTCAAAAAAAAAAAAAAGAATGTCAATGAAACTGCTGACCTGTTCCTTCACGTTTAGGTATAAACGTGTTTCAAACGAGTTTGAAAATCTTGGGTGAACAGGAAGGTGAGACAGTTTCCAACCACTTTAAGGCTCTCTGAGTGAAGAAGCAATCATCTCCCCATGAGGACAAGGTGGGTAACCGCAAGCCCCCAGGAAATCTGCCTCCTGAAACCCTGCCCGGCATACAGCAAGCCACCGCTGCCTGACCCTCCACCACCGTCCAGCCAGCACCTCCCACAGCCCCTGTTCCAGTGACCTCTGTACATCTCTACGTCCCATGCAGCCAGGAGCGGCTCAGGGCCAGGAACAAAACACCCGCTTGCTGGTGTTCCCAGTACCAGCTACCGGGTCTAGCCCAGAAAGTTCTCAATAGGTATGTGCTGAACTCAATGTGAGCCAACTGGACACAAAGCTGCAATCTGCTTTTCACTCTGATGGTGAATCCGGGGCTTGCAGTCAAGGACTCAGGCATAACCAGCGCCTCCTACTGGTGACTATCCAAGGTGCATTAGTTGGAAATATTAACAGGAGCTACTACCAGCGATAATCCAGTTGGCTATTGAGAACTTTCTTGATTACAGTGGTTTCCCAATTTCTGGGGGAGCAAGTAAGACTTCCTCTGGGCCAAAACAGATTAATTAATGAGCCTATTTAGTGAAATACACAATATAATTCAATTAGAATTCCTTATTGTATTTCAAACTATAAATAAATCATTGAATGGAGAGGTTTAGATTTGATGAGCCAAATGACACAGGGACTGTCAATATTTAAAACTTAGATAAAAAAATCACTCTCCAAGGTGTCTCCAGAGTAAATCCATTGCTTTTGTTCCAAAGAAACTTGACTTTATAAAAGGGGCACTCAAATTTCAAAAGGGAGCCCCAACTTGTCCTTTAGAGTTGAAAGATCATTAAGTCAGAAGTGTGTGTTTTTAACGCCAGAGTTCTAGTAATTTTGACTAAAGGTTTGGCATTGACAATCCAAATCTAAAATACAGTAACTCAGTACAAAGTGCAATGAGTGAAATTCAGTAGGGAACCCACTGTCCCCTTCTTAATGCGCTAGTGATGTCAAGAAAATGGACTTTTCCCCTCCAGGGTGGGGATGTCTTTGGCTTCTCCCTTTTGATATCAGTGGACAGGCACATTTTCTAATATTGCTTCTGAAAGACAAGAAACCTCTGAATTTATTGAGGGGATTGTAAAATTATCTTATGATTCTTCTTTATTTGGAGGAATGCCCTTGAGATCAATTATGTACAGAGTTAGAATTTCCAAGTCCTTACATACGCATGATCTCACTGACCGCAGAGATGCTGACATGCAGGACCAGCCTCACTATCCAGGCAATACCGCTCAGATGCCATGGCATCCGGACTTGGCCCTTCCTTCCTCTTCTCTTGCTGGCCTGCCTGAAATTTAATCATTTTCCTTACAATCAGTCATATACGAGTAAAAAGGGAGGAAAGAAAAGGAGAAGACATTCAGGCTGATCACATTTTAAAAATGTATGGAGTTCTTTCGAAAAAAGTGGGGATATTAAAACTGCTAGTTGAATTAAGATTCTAGAGAGTAGAGGTATTAATTGAAGTGATTTGAATAATGTCAATGTTTGTGACTTCTTCAAATTATCTTTATTCTACAACACCCAATCAACATAATTATTTTATGATCGTTATTTCACTTATTTGGTCCCGTGCACCAGAGACGATGACTCCCATTTCTACAGGTGAAGGAGGACATGGAGGTGACGCAGACTCGTCCAAGCGGAGGTCGGGGCTGGACACCAAATCATTCGATCCCCAGTTTATCTCCCATTTCTTGTGTACACAGAGCCTCATGGGCTAATACAACAGCAAGCCTGGGTGGGGCTTGAAAATTTCAAAAATTGATGCTGTGGCTGTAGCTGCAGGTGCCACGGACCATCCGGCTTTGCACGAGAGCTACTTCCCTTGGCCGAAAACCCACAGAGCTGGGTCACTGCCCTCTCCACCCCAGCCCCGGCCTCACCGTCAGCAGGTCACCACTAACAATGTCCGCAACTGGTCACACATACCACATATATGACGTAGGAACTAACCCGTTTTCCTACAAGTCACCTTGTTTTAGGCTCTACTTGAGCTAAAATACTGGATCGCTTTTCTCGATGTATTAAGCGAAACGAAGAGCACAGGACAGCCAGTGAAACTCTCCCCAAGTCTCTAACCATCCAAGCGCCCACTTACGGGCCCGTGTACGATGTAAAACCTCCAGGGACTTCTCCCTCCCCAGAGCCACCAGCTCTCTACTCGCATTCACCAGCACTTTCCCAGCCTTGAAATGAGTCAGTGATTTGCTCTTCTTCCCTAAAAATAAGTGACTGTCCTTACCACGCTTACCAATACTTTCTTCAACGAATTCCTTCCTTTTCATTGCAAACTAGGTCACTCAAAATGGGCAGGTCACTCAAAATGGGCATTATCCGGTTAACTTTTTTTTTTTTTTTCAGATGACTTGGAAACAAAGAAGCCAGGCTTACTGCGAACCCCCCACCCCCAAACACACCAAAATCTTGTGACCCATTACAGTCTACGTTAGGCCCGACTAGCGCACACAGAACAGCTGCAAGAAATGGATTACTGACAGTGGTTAGCGAGGAGCATCGTGGTCTTACCTATGCACACTAGATCCATAAAACCATACATGCCATAGCAGATCTGAAAAAGGATGTCCTTCCTCTGCCACACGGCATAGGGGCTGAAGGCGGACCAGAGCAGCCAGGTCACACTCGCTATTAAGAACAGGGATCCTAGGATTACAGCAATCATCTGAACTTTTTCAACCAGTGTTATAGAAATGCTTTGCCACTAAAAGAAAAACAGAGGCATGTAAGAAAAAAGGTGCTGTGGATAATTAAAAAAGAAAAAAAAAAAACATTTCAGCCCGTGTTTCCCTTCATTAGACCCTTTCAATCTGATCGCCCCCAAATTAATTTTTCCATTTCATCCAGACTATACAAAATAGACAAGCAGATAAGGATTAATGAATTGCTTAACTTCATTATTTTCAGTAATTCACCATTCTGCAGGTTTAATCTAGTTTTATTCCAGATAACAGGACAGAGTGCAAATGGCTGTGGAATATTCGGTTCCTGGGAATCACATTATCTTTCATGCATGCATGAAATTAAATATATTCTGATGATATGTGATGAGAACTCCTCTGCTTGGAAATTTATTTCACTCTCAACACGTTAATGACAAAAAGGGAATCAGCTTTTGATTTTACCCAAAAGTATGAAAAATAAGTGCTATAAGAACATCAGCGGAAAAAAAAAAAAAACTGTTTCAGGCAATACACAAGAATAACTATATGCATTGCATATCTGGTACTGATGCATTTCTTATATCCAGAAATCATTACAACTTTTCAATACCTAATGGGTAATCCATGCAGTTGTTTTTGTCAAGATTTAGAATTTGTACACAAATCAAATATCTTTGAAACTCACAACCTGTACAAACCCACACTTTTTGAAGGAGAGAATACACGATGTCTCAAGTAGCAATATATTTGAGAGGATTTACAGCAGAAGTGAGCAAACATTTTTCAAGGGTGTTATCAACCTGAGAGAATTAATTAGTCGTGTTCTCACTTTTGCATCTTGTTACCGAGACAGTAACACAGCTAGAATTCTAATGCAGCCTGCCAGTAAACAATGAAACTGGAAACAACCTGCAGAGTCTCGTTCTGGATGAAGAGTCCACGTTGCTGGTCAGAGCACTCTGATCTACTGACTAACCCGAGGAACAAAATGGGCTCGGAGCCTCAGCACCCACTGGATAAATCTGGCATTTCCTTAAACTCTTTACTTACCATAAGTCCAAGAAATACAACCCCACTGGCAAGTGTCCCTGATGTGTGCAAATGTCACTGTCCTCTGTCCCTCAGTGCCTCTCTGCCTCTCTCGCCGTCAGTAATTCACACGCAACATTTTAATACGCATCTGACCTTGCATATCTGTGCATATGGCTGGAGTCCACACTTGGTAAAGATCAAAATGTCTTTTAAGTAATTATTTCATTCTCTAACATTTGGCTCTTACAAAACAGAGCCAACTAACAAAGTTTGGTGGAATTCTACAAAAACAGTATTTCCGATCACTTTAATCTGAACTTTCACTTCTTGAAAAATGTGTCTTACCTGTACCGTTCAGGATAAAAATGACTAGTCAGTATTATTCCACATTACATGGGAATCAGTGTTGTATCTCAGGATTGCCCTGAAAGTGTTTTTTGCTAACTTCCTGGTTAAGTTCACATTGCCAGGCACTTGCAGTTTAAGTCCTTGTACAGATTCATTTTGATGTTCATTAAAATCTGCATTAAGTACGAGATGGAAAACGTCCAGCTGACATCCCTCCTGGATGGCCACGATCTCGCCCACCGGACAGTTGCTGCTGACAATTTATCGCACATCACCGAGATGAAAACAGCACACTTTGAAATGCAGGAGGCAGCGTGGCCACGCTCTGTGTGTTTCACGTCCAGCGGCTGACCACACGCTGGTGGCAGGCCTGGGCCTGGCTCAGAGAGGGTGGGCAGTCAAGAGGGTGAGGAAGAGTCTCAGGAATGGCCTTTCCCGAGATCTTGTTCCCTCCTGCATAATCTTTTATGCCCACTCACTATCTGATTTTAGTGGAAAGAAATCTAGGCCCTTGCTATTAGACAAGTGGCTACATCTAGCTTCTATGAGGTTTACTAAGGAATTGACCCAAGACTGTGGCCTGCCAATCCTGTGGCAATATGGTGACCATGGACACGGGCCTCTGCACAGCTAGACTTGGGAGGACAGGCAGGGGCGGCTGGATGTGGCAGAGGAGTCTCCTGGGACAGGGAAATGGGGGTGGTCCATGTCTCCAAGTGAGCGGGATGCCAGGGCCGGGGGCTCTTACCACATATGAGGTATAGCAGCTCCTTGCCAGGGAAGGTGACAGGGGAATGTTCAGGCTTGTGCAAAAGATTTTTTTCTTTAAGATTTTATTCATTTTTATGTAGAAGAACTGGGGTACAGGCCAGAGGTGCAGGGGATTAGAGGATTCACCAGAGACAGCAGGGAGCAGAACAGGCAGATCTACTGAAACACACTGCTGAGGGGAGCAGCAGGGAGACAGGAGAGGTCTGCTGTGCCATGTGGGTCACTCCCTGGCCGGGGATCGAACTCGTGCTGCCATGGCTGCCGATTCCTTCATAGTGCTGAGACTTAACCCCTTGAGCCACCAGCGAGGCCCAGGAAGAAGAAATATTGATGCTTCTGACTTGCGTTGGCGGCTCAGCATTTGAAAACTCAAATCCCTGGCAGTTTGGAATCAATATGTTTATAATTATGTCAGGACAAACAAGGGGAAGAAAAAGAACAGCCTTTGATGGCTACACACTGGGGAGCTTTGTTATTTACTTTTATCATAGCAACTATTTTTTGGTGTGGATAAAAGTCATTTGAGGTTTAGAGCTTCCTTCAAAGATGGATAAACTGTTGGACATCTATCGTCATGGGTTTCCGAAAATTGCTGGCTTTTCATCACTCCGTTAATAATACCAACACGTGAGCAGAGATGTTCTTTCTATACTGATGAACCTTAAAATGAACCATCTCCCTGAATAGCTAACGAGGACAGACTATTATTGAAATCCAGATGATTAAGCTGATTATGAACACTAATATCATCTTGGTGATTCCGTTGCCCACTCTATTCTGTTCTTCCTTCATTTTACCATTATGTGCAAACATGGGCTTGTTCACTTTCTTCTCTAGGAGAAAAATGCCACTTTCTACCCTGAGGAGACCCCCTCCCAGTGAGTCCTGCCTGGATCATTATCTAAGGCTCAACTTCCTAGCTGTCTTAGTGGACCATTAGCTCAGACAATAACACAGAGGATTCTCAGGCACTTCTTTTCCACCCCAGTGGTATCCAGGGCCTCGATTTGGCTTGTAAAATATTCTGAACCTTGAATAAAATTTGTCAACTGCTGAATAGACTTTTCTCCTGCAAAACTTGGTATCAAGATTAGTTTTTCATTTACACTCCCCCTTCAAGTCTGAAAAGCAAAGTACTAGCTCAATAACCAGAGTGGCTGTAAGTAATTTCCATGACACTGGAATTCATGGGGTTCTTATCTTCCTAGAAAGATACTTACTTCCACACAGAATTTGGGGCCTATTGTTTCTAATGAAAGTGGGATGGAGTCGCTCCTCCTCAGGAAGTTCCTCACATTTAGCACCCTGAAGAAACGTGGGAATAGACACAGCCTCAATCACATAAGCTACCGTGTAAGGACTGATGTGTGCCAGGCACTCTTCTAAGTGGTCACACAGACTGACGCATTGAGTCCCCACAACTTTGAGGGGGGTACTTTGACAGTCCCCAATTTACGGATATGTGGCCTGAGGCAGAGGCAAAACAACTTGTCCCAAGTCACCTCTGACTGAAGCTGAGTTCTGAGCCCGCAGGTTGGTTCCCAGTTCCCGCTCTGACTGACACTGTGTAAGGATTCCCCTGGCCTCCAGTGACAATGGAGTAGACATGCCCACAGTATTTCGGGCATAAAGCTTCAAATCTGTCTTCTCTGGGCTGCCTGGCGGCCCTCGAGCTCTGAGTCACTGCCTGCTCCTCTGTGGGGCTCCATGTCCACAGGCTTAGTGCCCGGAGACCTTCCTCACTGGACCGGACACTGGCCCCATCCAGGAGGGCTATGGGGCAGGGTGAGAGGCACCTTGGGGTCCCCAAACTGGGGATCGCCCTGTTATGAGAGGCTACGTATTTGACTCAGCACATGAACCCAGAGCCTGGCACATAATTTTCCAGGACGTATGATGAGGGGTGTTGGACATCTCAAAAAAGAGAGGGAAGAAGGATGGAAGGAGAGGAAGGAGAGGGAGCAAACCAGTGGAAGAGGGTAGAAAGGGAGGAGAAAAGAGGCTGGAAAGGACCAGCGTTATTTGATTTCCTTTTATCTATTTCCTCTTATTTTCTCAAATGCCAATCAGTTCACAGTGACCTCTCTGAGGCAGAACAGGAGTTTAACACAATGGCCATGGCCCCTCTCCCCTCACCCAGCATTCCTGAAAAACAGCCCGGCACATTTCAGAACAAAGTGACTCAAGCCCTATTAGGTATCTCACCTGGGCCAGGTGTCCCCAGTTGTCACCTGTTCTGTTAGCTAACTGGCTTGGGGGTCAGGTGCTTCTGATAAACAAAATTGTCCAAACCTCCTTATCCCCTGCAGTAAATTCCTGCCCCTTTTGTTAAGCAAATCTGGCCCAAGCCCATTCTCTCCTCTGTAAATTGCCGCCCCTTTTGTTACACAAAACGAGTCAAAACCCACCTAGGATCCCCTCGGTGAGCCTCCCACACCCTCAAACTAAGCAGCCGCCCTAAGTCCCCTGGTGGAGTTCTCCTGGAACCTGCCTCACCCAATCCCAAGGGTGCACCATCACTACCTACAATAAAGCTTCCTTTCTAGCTCACCTCACGGACTCCCACAGTGAGTTCTTTCCTATGTAGAGTCAAGAAGCTCAGGGTCACTAGGTACCCCGGGCCCCAGCACCACCTTGCCCTTTGCACTCCAGCATGCAAGGGCTTTTCTCCCCACTTTTCACTGGATGAAACCTCCTGCATCTGTGATTGACTCCAAAGGCCAACTCTTCTGAAGAACCTCCTTTCTGTCTATCACCCACTGTTTATACTTGTGTCTGTGAGGATTTCTTCCAAATAGTTGCTGTTTTCAAATCCAGACTATCCATGAGTTACAAGTTTGATAACAGAAGAAGCTGAGTCTCACCCCTCTACACTAAACACTAAACAGCT